TTTTCACTATCTTCAGGATCCATCAAAGTCTGTCTATCACTGCAACAGTAAAATTAAAACACAAATTAGAATTTATAATTTAAAATCATTTACTGTACTTTCATTGACAATTTATATTGTTGGGGACTACTGCGCAGTCAACTTCAGTCACTCTCTCGAGTTTCTTCTGAAGTCATGAAATCATCTGATATTGCTAGCCCCATCTGTCCACCAATATCCTAAACAAACTCAAGTTTGAACTAAAAATGGGATTTTAGTTTATTTATTGTAATATAACAAAATAAGACAAAATTATAGGTTTCCGTCTTAATAAATAACAAAAAGGCATCTTTAAGAGAATAAAGGTCTTAGTGCATATATAGTTTACGCTTTAGTTTGTTTGCTTAATACAAAGTTACACAATAGGCTAACTGTGCTTTGTCCCCTATTGGGGAATCTAACACCAGAATTTAGCGTTGTAAGTTTATGGACTTACCGCTGATCTACTGGGGGACTTATAATGTAGAGTACATTAGTCTTACCTGCACAAACAATGACCAGATATCAAATATTTTATGCTGCTTTTATTTTTTTTTCATATATTTTAGGGTAGTGTTTAAGCGCAAACTATACATTGAGCTAGGTCCGGCATGGCCAGGTGGTTAGGGCGCTCGACTCGTAATCTGAGGGTCGCGGGTTCGAATCCCCGTCACACCAAACATGCCAACCTCCGCCTTTGCCTGGTCCCAAGTCCAGGAGGAGGGTTGGGCGCGGGGCTAGCAACTCCACCCCGTAAAACCAACCTGCTAAAAGTAACTACAACGACACCTTCCATTGGCGAGGTGTTGTTGTGGCCCTATGCTCCACTGGGAGTTTACAGGAATAATAATAATAAAGAAATACATTGAGCGATTTGCACTCTGCTCACAGCGGATATAGAACTCCTATTTTTAGCGTTAAAAGCTCTCAGGTTTACTTCGCTTAGCCACTGGGAGGCTATAGGGTAAGAGTATTAAAGACGTTAGCATTATATTGGAAACTGAAATTATAATTCTGATGAAGCTCTACATTTTATATTTGGTTTAATTTAATACAAAAAGAGCACAATTCTCCTTCCCCTACTCCAGAAAAGATGAAACAGATATAAACTTGTGTCGAATAATTTAGTATGAGTGCGTAGAATCCAAAATGCATGTATTGTACTGTTTTAACACCTCTTTTTACACGCGTATTATCAATATATATGTGTATGTGTGTTTAATCTAGAAGATAAATATGTTATGTCTTCTGTTCATTATTAAGCATAAATCCATACGATCTGGGTTGTTCCACCACGGGTAGCAAAATCCATTGTTTGTTGTTATAAACCCACAAATTTACCATTGAGCCATCCTGGGTTACGTATTTTGGAGTTTTAAAAGCATTTTCATATTTCTTTAAAATATTATTATCATTTTTTTCACATTAATTTTATGGTTTTAAATTTCAGATGTATTTTATGAAAGTTTATTGTAAATTTTATCATTAAGTCGATTTTGTTTTTAATAGCTTCTTGTGTTTTTTTTCTATTTTTGGAAACTGTTGAAGAGTGATTATTAAATGACCATGCGTGGCTTAGTGTTTGGGGCTGCAAATTAGAATAAGCAAGGTTCGAGCTGCTGTATATATCATGCTGGATACGCTCCACTATGTTGACTGTGAAGGAGCTGTAACTGTGATAATCAATTCTACTATTCAGTTAAAGTAGTCATGCAGGCGGCGGATTCGGTTGACTGGTTCCCTCTATCAGCTATAACTCCTCAATTAGAGGTAACTATGTCTAAACCTTAATTTAATGTATCTGGCTTAACTGTTTATCCTGTGTGCTGCATAAGGTGCTGTTCAGATTGAAAATATTAATACCAATGACTATTAAGTTAAAGAACTCGTACAATAATCTGAGGATTTATAAGAAAGGTATAAGCTGTATTTTCGATGTTAACTAAAGGGGGCATGATTTTAAGATCTAGTAATTTCCACTAAGATTTGGAGGAGTACATTAGTTACAAAAAGCTGGAAGGTTGGTTAATGTCATTAAAGCCTACCATTTTAAACAGGTAGCAAGGTGAATAACCTGTTGCTCACTATTCTAACTGTTTACTCTGGAAATTATTTGGAGCTGAGCCTGATATGCTTCCCATGATACATTTCCATCATAGTCCATTGGTTTTTCAATTGAGTGATGTTATTGAATTGGTCAGGTAATGTTTAAATTGTATTTGTTGGTGACAAAGCTGGAGTTGTCAAGGAAAGTCATGCAATCACAGATGGCACAGCAGTAGTCGTAATAGGTGTCGACCAAATAGGTTCTGCTATTCCATATTTTATAGCACGTGTGCTTTAGATTGCAATTCTTGGACATCTGTAAAAAAAGAATTGTGGCTGCTTTAATCTTTGCATTTATCAATTTATTTTATCACTGATGTTCTTTTTGTACTTCTTCAATTTTGTCATTACCACCTTTCTGTACTTCTTTGATGTTTGTTTGTACTTCAAACTTGTAATCCCTCGGTACATCACCATTAGTTTCGTCGACTTTGTTTTCAATCAAATTTATTTTTGTTCTTAATTTTTCTTTAATTATTATGTCTCTTTCTTTGTTCATGATCTTATTTTCATTTTCGTTCTTCTTGACCTTCTATTAACGTTTCATTATTTCTAAGTGTTTCAATCTCGCTTAGTTATGGAGTTGTAATTTCCAATTTGCGGTTTAGTCAAAGTTTTATTTTATTTTCATAAAAATAATCTCACTTTTGATACCAGTGTTGTAACGTATTCTATCGTCAGCAGAGTTCTTTTAAATTATTTAGTGAAAACAATTGCGAAATCTAGTTCATGTAACAATAACGAATTAATTTGTTTGTTTTTTTTTCATTAACGTTTGCTACAAGTTATGTTCACTCTGACGTAAATTATATTTATAGGCCTAAGTCCACAAAGGAAGTTACAACAAAAATTTCAAAATTACTGTAGGCCTATTATAGTAATAGCGTTTAACAGAAATTTACTCAATTGATGACAAACCTGATTAACTTACCTCGTTTAATCTTATCTCGATCAATAACCTCTTAATCTTTCAAACACTGAATACTTCGACGAATTCTCAATCACTGCTCAGTAACTACTCAATAATTACTTTACTAAAAGATTGGCACTCTAAATCTAAATAATGAACCCTTCTAAATCTTAGTCGAGTTTACTAGATCTTAACTTTGTGCGCCATTTACTGAACACCTAAACTAAAATATTGAAAATATAGTTTACAAACAGATGGACACATATCTACAGTTCTTTCCAAAACTTACATAATACAAAATAATAATAATAGTACAGAAAAGTGGTCTGATAGTGTAGCATAATAGTATTTTATAATATTTTACTTGCATACCTCAAGATATTCTTTTCTTATTTCCTGGTTTATGTTTTTATCCAAAATCATGTGAAAACCATAGTAGGCTGGGAGCTAATAACTTTCATTCTGTGTAGAAAATATTATAGTATTAGGTTCTCTAGGTGTAAGAATTCGCCATACGCTTTGTCTGCATAAAATTAACAATTATTATTACTGTTTTAATAACTTGTGTTAATTTATTATGTTTCACATTTTCGCTACTTTTCGGTTTTATTAGATTATTGTTACCAGAGCCGAAATAAAGATTTATTTATTTATTTACGACTCTGATTGTCACCACGACCATGATTACTGTGAACTTGTGTGATTAGGAATAATATTTTGACACAATGTTACTTCTTTTTCTATGTAAAAGAACAAAAGGCTTGGATTATTATGATCTCGTGTTGTTAATTTTAGTAATTTTAAATCTATCAACCACTTTTATCATAAACGAAATACTCTAAAATTCTTTGAACTTACTAGTCTTCACTGTCCATTACAGGTATCCATCAGCAGCAAATGAATAAAATATACGCTAGAGATAAGCTATAATTAATATTGGTAAATAGAAAATCTATTGTTTTTAAAAACATTATTAAAACACTTAGAATTAAAATAAAAACACATTTTAATATAGAAGAAAATATTTGCTTTTTGCTAAATTTCTTTTTGGCGATCTCTGCTAAAATAAAATTCCATGATAATAATTGAAAGTATTTTTGATAAATATGAATTTAAAATAATTTTTTGTATATATATATAAATATATATATAGAGAGAAAACTCATCAAACATCACATTTTGTGGTCCTTGAAGATACACAACTTGACATCGAAGTGTTTGCTCCATATTTTTGATGCTAGCGCCTCGACAATATAACATGGTAATAAGATCTCATTTTAAACATAAAGAAACAAACTAACTCAAAGTATTGAACCATAGCTTGAGGTCGTTTAGTCCTCTTTGAGAGAAATTATGAAGGCACACTCTTCAATAAGACAAGGAAAACTGTACACACTAAAGTTATTCAAATTCCAAGCGTTACCCGATCAACCGTTCTAAAAATCAAAATTACTTTGTTGAGGTTTGATTGAAAGGATGTGTTAAAATTAGGTGTAAGCTTAAGAAGAATAAGAAAATAGAATATTCATTTCAGAAAATGGAATATGCAAGTTTAAAATACGTCACTATGTCTGTTCTATGAAACAGGGGATAATTTTTCAAGTCTGTTGTCTAAAACAAGGGGCTGTTTTAGGCTTATGTACTAAAACATTGTTACACTAACGGCGGAGAGAACCTAATCGGTTAGGTAACTCTTCTATCATATTGTCTTTGAATGTGAATTCTTATGACAAACGTGTTATGAATTCTTCTTTAAAAGTATTAATACATTCTGTCCCACTTTCAATATTCAAGCAGTGTTCACTTGGTTCAGGTCGTGTTCATTGTATTTGTTTATATCCTGATTGTGAACTGTAGGTTCCCTTAGTAATGTAATATTCTTACACAGGAAATGAACTATTTACAAAATTATAATATTGTTTAACTACCCACCAGATTTAAAACTAAGAAAAGTAATCCGGCAAAATTTACCACTTTTTGAAATATTTTATTTCGAAATAGTTAAAAAAAACAACATTAAAGTACACTATTACGTTTTACTAACACAAATTACTGACATAGAATGGTATATCAGGCCATCTAAAACTGCGGGAACGTAAAGTGTGAAGATAAAACAGTATATCTTTAAAGCTCTGAAAATAATTATTTGAACGTAAGAAACACATAAGAAAATCACACTGTTTTGGTCTAATTCGAAAAGTATTATTCAGAAGACAAGTGTTGTAACAGGAACCTTTAATTGGCAATAAGCAGAACATGTATATTTATACGGAAGTGTCTTAGGTCTTTAGTTTCATTCTGGAGAAAAATGTATACTCTTTCATTTGAATAATAAATATGTTTTCGTCCTGGTTCACTGTCTTACTCACTTTTCAGTTTCTAGCCCTGTGCCAATTCAGAACATATGTTTAAAATGCAAACAAACTTAGCATAACAAAAAATACATAAAATTATTATGATTAAAAAAGAAAGCTTGTAAAATATCTGAAAAGTCAAACAAATCCTAAAGAGTGTTTTAGAATAATGACCATTATTCTGATTTCTAGCAACCAGCCTTTTCTTAAAATATTCCGGATGAGATTCCACCTGGAGGGATTCTAGTGCGAGTCTTCATCTTTTCTGGAGTCGTTGAATTATTATTAGAAACTTGGCCTTCTGTATCTGGAAAATTACAAAACAACTTAGTTATACAAAAAACACAACTTTCTGTACTTAGAACTCACAGTCATAGAAACAACTCAACTTTCTGTACTTAGAACTCACAGTCATAGAAACAACTCAACTTTCTGTACTCAGAACTCACAGTCATAGAAACAACTCAACTTTCTGTACTCAGAACTCACAGTCATAGAAACAACTCAACTTTCTGTAATTAGAACTCAAAGTCATACAAACAACTCAACTTTCTGTACTTAGAACTCACAGTCACAGAAACAACTCAACTTTCTGTACTTAGAACTCACAGTCATAGAAACAACTCAACTTTCTGTGATTACAACTCAAAGTCATAGAAACAACTCAACTTTCTGTAATTAGAACTGAAAGTCATAGAAACAACTCAACTTTCTGTACTTAGAACTCACAGTCACAGAAACAACTCAACTTTCTGTACTTAGAAGTCACAGTCACAGAAACAACTCAACTTTCTGTAATTAGAACTCGAAGTCATACAAACAACTCAACTTTCTATTTTTTTATAAACTAGACTCAGTGAATTTACACTAAATGTTTGGAAAATGACGAAAAAACTTAACGAATAGTATAGAATAATAAATGTGTCACTTGTTCTCATATACAGGATGCTTGTGATAAATAAATAATGAAACAACGTACACACCGCTAAAAGAATCATTGTTTTGTTTATAAAGACAGACAAACTCTACAAGATGATATTATCAGACCTCGTCCACATTATACATTGATAAAAAGTTTATAACGGTAGATAAACGCTACCAGTCAATATTCATTTCTATTTATATCACAATCTTCTCAATTCTAAATTTTCACGAACTTTCAAGATCTTGACATCAAAGCAATGACGAGCCCTCTCTACCAAACACCTAAATTAAAACATAAAAAATATAGCTTACAACAGTTTTATCAAAAACTTGTCACAAACGTTTTTGTTAAACCTACCATAAATCGAAGGATGTAATGTTTGGTTATCTTGTTTTTCGTCAGGAAATATATTTGACTTTAACCGATCAACAACATTCCTTGATGAATTGTTTTCCTCTGGCGGCCCAAACAGTCGATTCTGGCTGTCACTCTCTTGGATTTTTCTCCTCTGTTGTGTTGAAAGTGTATCGATATCATCTTGCCTGAATATGTTAGATTGCATTACGCGGTTAACTACTCGTGGACTTTGTTCTTCCTGACCGTTGGCAGAGCCAAAAATATCGCTACTTTCTCCCCCTGGAGGTCTTCGGACTCTGCAAAGTGGAGTTTTAAATAATATAAAATAACATCATGTGTTTAAAAAATATCAAAAATAGTTTATGATACAAATATCTCCTTATTTAACGTTCTCTCTGTTTGCTGTACATGTTATAAAAATGGAATCTCGATTTTGAGCGTTATAGGCCTTAAAGTTTACAATTGAGCTATGGGAGGTTTTGTAAAATGAATATTTTTGCTATGTTAATCTAATATTTTAAGTCTCATTCTTACGTTCGCCATAAAGCTACGAACTTCCATCCTGCAGAAAATTTAGTTTCGCGAGTTTCGATATCAAGACCAGTCGAAAGTTCTTAATTAGCGTATCACGCAGCTGATAACATGGACTAGTGGGACGGAACGCCGATAGATAGCAGCACCTTCAGATCAACTTGCGAAAAAGAAATTCAGATTGCCTAAGATAAACAGCGGATTGACAAAGTGAACTTTTGTTTACCAGAATGTTGGTTTCAAGTCATTAAATATTATTTCTCACAGTTGAGGTGCTATACTTGATTTTGGGATGGTTTATTACCTAAAATATTTTTCTTAGTTTACATTTTTGAATTTACTTGAAAAAATCGTTTTAATAATTCATTTTTGTGTTAAGTTCTTGCAGTCTCTCAGTTTCTGTTATCTTTCCCCAGGTTTGTTACTTTACCATTTTTCTTCTTATGTACTAATTGTTAATTTATTTTGTTTGTCAACTAGTTTGTTAGACACATAATTGTATTTAACCCCTTCCGTGTCAGTGTTGTGTACAGTGTATAACAACCCTTAACACCTTCTGTGTCAATGTTGTGTACAGTGTATAACAACCCTTAACACTTTCCATGTCAGTGTTATGTACGGTGTATAACAACATTTAACACCTTCAATGTCAGTGTTGTGTATAACAACCTTTCACACCTTCCGTGTCAGTGTTATGTATAGTGTATAACAACCTTTCACACCTTCCGTGTCAGTGTTATGTATAGTGTATAACAACCTTTCACACCTTCCGTGTCAGTGTTGTGTACAGTGTAGAACAACCTTTCACACCTTCCGTGTCAGTGTTGTGTACAGTGTAGAACAACCTTTCACACCTTCCGTGTCAGTGTTGTGTCAGTGTTTATGCATCAAACCACTTTCTTACTCCCATTTCCTCATATTTTCACCAGCATTCTTGGATAACTTTCATATTGTGTTGACAATATGGTTTGTTGACACATATTAGTTACCTATATCTCTTTAGTTCTTTCACCATCCTTTAATATTCTACCAACCATCTATCCTACATGTGTTCATGTATCTTCTACCAATCATCTATCCTACATGTGTTCATGTATCTTCTATCAACCATCTATCCTACATGTGTTCATGTATCTTCTATCAACCATCTATCCTACATGTGTTCATGTATCTTCTATCAACCATCTATCCTACATGTGTTCATGTATCTTCTATCAACCATCTATCCTACATGTGTTCATGTATCTTCTATCAACCATCTATTCTACATGTGTTCATGTATCTTCTACCAATCATCTATCCTACATGTGTTCATGTATCTTCTATCAACCATCTATCCTACATGTGTTCATGTATCTTCTACCAATCATCTATCCTACATGTGTTCATGTATCTTCTAGCAACCATCTATCCTACATGTGTTCATGTATCTTCTATCAACCATCTATCCTACATGTGTTCATGTATCTTCTACCAATCATCTATCCTACATGTTCGATGACGAGGAACCCACTTTGAGACTAATAATGGCTGGAGACGGCTTAAATGGGTAATGAAGAAAAACTTTAATATAAGTTTAACATGACAGCAAATGTACAACGTTTCGACAAGGTTTTGTCATCATCACCTGCCATCATTCCGGCCCACTAAACACTAGACACGCCCGAATCACTAACGTTAAATTGATGTCAGATAATTTTCTTAAAACCACGGAAAAGTTTAAAAGAAGTCTAATTAGGTTACTTTTTGTTCTTTATTTCCCACACTAACTATTGTAAATACAAACTGCTCTATAACCCTGGCCAATATAGTGTGACACGTTGTAAGTAGAACCTTACTTCTAATTATCGAACCCTTTGACTCGTTTTCGCCATAGGATAACATTAAAGAAATTTAACACGTAGATTTAATTACATGCGCACATACATAGTAGGGTGTATGTGTGTGTGTTCCTTAAGACAACTGAAACTCCGTTACAAAATAAAACCAAAACCTAAGTGTAAGGAATACAAAGGAACACCAGCAGCTACATTTGTACATGGGGATTAAGGTAAACTACCTTTGTACAGGGGGATTACGGTAAACTACCTTTGTACAGGGGGATTAAGGTAAACTACATTTGTACATGGGGATTAAGGTAAACTACCTTTGTACAGGGGGATTAAGGTAAACTACCTTTGTACAGGGGGATTAAGGTAAACTACCTTTGTACAGGGGGATTAGGGTTAATTACATTTATTTGTTGAACAATTATTACAGGAATATCCAAGTAAATTAAGATTCATTGTTTTCTTGTTTTACTAAACCTTTTTTGACTTTATTTCAACAACTGTTTTTTTCCGATACATTTTAAGAACTTCAACCAGACAAAGAAAATAAGGCTGGGGAACCTAAGAATAAACTTATTATCGTTCCTTTTATTTTCTATTTAAGTTTGTATGATGTCAGGAAGGCTTTAGTCACCTTAGAACTACCCATCAACTCCCCCCTTCTAAAAACAGACTGGGACGAAATTCTACGACGATAGTTCAACCCCCCCCCCCTTCTACGGATGAGAGAAATGGTTTAACTTAAGTACAGTGAAGGTAGATTTGGAACCACGATTATACAGAAGGTTGGATATGCAAATCACGTGCAATCTCTGATTTGAATAGGTAATAAAGATCCCTTTCTAACATGGTTTTATTTGAACAGTTAATGACAGCATGCTGATACATTATATTCAGTATCTATTAACTGCAGGGGAACAGATCCAGGTGAGGTCATGCACACTTTTGCTCTCTTTGGGTCATATCCGCTTATAGAACGTAGCAGTTCACCCAAACAGTGATACGTCACTCACCAATAAGCAGGAGATGCTGGCGGTAATAATTCTTCTCTTAGGGGTAAAAACTAATTACGTTTACTATCGTAGAGTCGAACATACGATCCTAGCTTTCAGAACAGAAGTCACTCGTCAACAAAATTTGTTACAAACACGGTTATATCAAGAGATTCAAAGTTAAGAATGTTTTGTTAGTGACTATAGAGAACTATCATGTTCCCCAACCAGTAAAGTATATCCAATGAGCTGTCATGTTTCCCGACCAGTAAAGTATATCCAATGAGCTG